GGTCATTTTCAAGGACACTTTCATTCACATAGCAACATCTGTGAAATATCGCTCCCGAGGACCTTTGAAAGGTACTAAATATAATATTAGAAGACATGTTACATGTGAAGGTACGCTACAAAGCACTTTGAGGGAATTGATGACAGACAGGCTTTTTTTTTTTTAAATTGATTCAGTAATTTTTTTTTTTTTTTGAAGAGGCTACAGATAAAGAGTGCTTTTCTCAGGGAAAAGGGCTGGTGCCTGCTTGCTGTAAATCTGCACTCAGTATGGAACAGAACCCTGCTCTTTACTCGCACCAATTATAAAATGACTTTCCCAAATTTTTTTACTAAACTGAACGAGAACCGGGTGCCAAAGAATTATTTCAGGCTGTAGCTTAGCCTTTGCCTGATTAGGACCCGACATCAGAGAGGAGATTCATTCCGCCACCTCCAACAGCTTAAAAAAAGCAGCAGAGCTTTGATGTGCCGAGTTCCATCATCTTACACCAAATCGGCTTATAGGACAAATGGAAGTATGGCATGCATGTCAGCAAAATTAGATTTTTTTTTTTAACTACACACAAACACACACACACAGTACCATGGCTTCGGAAGTCTTCCTCAAAGTAGTCTCTGTTCAGAGCAAACTCGGGCTCCTCGGTGTAGCTGTAAAGCTCTGGGAAGGAGAACATGTGAGCGTCAACCGCAGGGAACAGGTTGTGCTCGGAAGCAAACGCACGCGGAAGCTTGCTGTCACTCGCGACGCGGACCACTGTTGAACTGGTTTACGACTGTCATAACGCTCGTCGGCAACACAAGGGAGGTGGGATGTAAATCTGTAGAACCTGCTCGGTCATTTGTAGAAAAGGTTTGAATAATAAAAAACAAAGGACACCCTCCCTTTGCATGCCATGGTTGTTTAATTTGTACATTCATTTTTATTGGATGTATTAACATTTTTAATGAAATGGATGAGTCACTGCAAAAGGCTGGATGTGGGCCATATGTGGCGCCCAAGCCCTACTTTTTCAAAAATAGAATTGTCACACTTGGTACCTGAGAGTTCGGCGACGAGCGTGTCCGTGTCGCCGTATTCAAACTCCAGGTTGGGAGATTCCATGGAGCTCTGCCAGGCAAGTCAATAATGGTGAACGCAGAACACAATACAGCAGCCGATCACATTTTGCAACACCTACCACGGTCACACCCCAAAGATGTTTAAGTCGAATAAAGACGACGCTGAAAGTGCTTCTTAGAATGAAGTTGAAAAAAATAGTGAGGCCAATGCAACAGGAAGCAAGCCTCAATCTGCTCCGGGCAATGCAAATGAGTTCCAGTCAAGACAAAAACAGGTTAGCGGCGATCCTAACTACGGGTTGAAGACACGACGGTTTGATTTTGAATCTGAAAATATTTCAGTGTCTTGGCTCATGCAGTCACACCCCCTCCTGTGGACTTATGTCACAAAGACAACCCAGGACAGTGGCAGCAACAGCATAGAGCTTTGGCGCCAAGTGCTTTGGCACTTTCTACTACCGATGAGGAGTTACTGTCAGGTTTTTCTTTTTGTTGCCTTAAGTATCGGTGGCTAGTTTTGGCAGCATCCGCAAGTACTCAATACCTTAAAATAAGGGCCAGCAGTATCGACTTGACATTGATACCTGGTATCAGTACTCACCCAGCCCCACTTTTTAATGAAAATATTCATTACATAGGGACGAGAAACTTTTAACGTAACATATACATTACCGTAAACATCAAATGAGTTTTTAAAAAGATAGAGGCATTTGAAGAAAAGTGTAACCTCATTGACATTGAGTGAAATTTAATGAACCCAATTTATTGAACTAATCAATTCCAAAAATAATTTACATGTAATTAAAAGGTACGCGAAAGCGGACCCAACACTCGAAGCCATTTAAAATGTGACGTCAATGCAGGGTTGGCCATTATTTTTTGATCATGCAATTTAAATCTAAATCAATCATGTGACCTTTGCAACGTTCAGACTAGGTCAAAATGTCACAGACCGGAGGTAGGCCAGCAAGGAGGACACACGTAGCACAACATTGTTATTAATCAGCATATTGCTGCGAAATTATTTTGTCCAATGCACGAATGTAAATATTAGATGGCATCCGTGCAGCAAACAGCAGCCACATTTCGCCACCTGCAGTCTCCACGTCGAGCCACACCGCAGGATTACGAGCAGAGGTTTATTTTTAGGAGCCGCTCGCCAAAATAAGCTCTCAAGTGTGCCTGTCTGCATGCATGCTTTGGAGACAGCCGCGCGAAGAAAGGGACGTGCAGCTGTCCCGAAAAAGCTCCCCAGCAACAACCGCGCCACGGAGAAACCATAAATATTGCCGTTTCCGACGGACATGAACGCCTCTCGCTTGTACCCACCTCGGACTCCTTTTGCTGTTCCTTGAACACATCTTTCCCTTTCGACCTCAGCCTGTCGCCGTTGTCGTTGAGGTTATTGAGCAGAGGGACCTCCATGTCCTCCGCCAGCATGTTGTTGGAGGGTCGACGCGGGCTCACGTGCCGGTCTCGGGGGAGGGGAGGGGGGCGAGAGACGTCGGCACACCGGCGGGAGAACAAGTTGGGAGCTTCTCCTTCCTCGTTTACGCGCCCCACGCCTCTCTGCTTGAAAACGTGTTGGATTTGTCGTCCGCGCACGCCTCGAAAGGGCGGAGCTAGACAATGATCACTTGGGAAAGGAAGGAGCAAGCAGGCCGAGCAAAAACCAATTAGACAAGTTAAAAAAAAACACAGGATATTAAAGTTGGAAAGTGAAAAAGAATGGGAGTAATTCAGGAAAGGAGCACGAGAGGGTCTGAGAGAAAAAACAAAGGACAGAAAAAAGATAAGGGAAAGGAGGAAGGTATGAATGAAGGATGAAAGGAAGGAGACAAGGATGTTTGAAAGGAATATCTAAGAAGGGATGAAGCAGGAGGAAGAATGAAGGCAGGATGGACAGAAGGGAAGGAGACAAAGGACTGCATTAAAGGAACAAATGATGGAATAATGAATGATGCCTTCACAAAGAAAACATGTTTCTGCCATCTTGAATACTGTAAAATACCCGTGTGTGTTGAAGGCAGAGAAAAAACCCAGCACACAGGGCCCACCGATTTAAAATAAAAAAAAAATCATGGGAAAGAAGTCCCCCCAAAAAATAAATCAGCCTACTGACTCCCAATTGTCATATTGAGGGGTAAAAATTATGCTCTTTGATTATTTTTCTTAAATGGCTTGATGTATGGTGAACAAACACCACATATACTGTACTCTGCATTGTTTAAAAAAAAAAAAAAAAAAAAGACAAAAGCCGAGGGAAGAAATCAAGGCCGGCAGTCAGCCGAGCAGGACGCTGATGTCAGAGATCAGCGCCGGCTCGGATGAGGTCAGGGAGGTCTTGACGGACCTCGGCAGCTGCACACAAGCACACATACGCGACGCTCCCATATCAACGCATCACAAAGAAAGAAAAACAGAAAGGCGCCAAGCTTTCAACTGTTTACATCTTTATTGGAGATTATTGCTCGTCATCTACCATCGTCACTTTCTGTCCTCTCTTGATGGACAAAACACGTTTGGGAATTTTCAGCATTTTTTTTTTTTTTTTTTTAAGATTTACAACAATAAATACAGGAGATAATTTTCCTTCCTACGTTTTTTTTAAAGGTTGTCATATCTGTATATAGAATGTGCGTATTCTACATATATATATATATTACATACACGATGCTGGTGTCACCCCTGCCCACCCACCCACGGGTCGATGGTCAGTTTGAGGCTAACAAAAACGGAAATTCTCTCATCCTCAAACGCGCAGGCTTGGATCCTGAGGCAGCTGTTTATGAAGCAAACGTACACAAACGGAGACGGACACTCGCACGTTACCATCAGCACTCTCGAGGCCACACGCGGGCGCGGATCACACGAGAGAGAAAGTTCAGGACAGCACGAAAAGAAACAGAAAAGCGCGAATGTCAGGGGGGAAATTTGAGGATTGAGTGTTCCGTCGAGCTTCTTGTGCTATCTCACAATTTTATTGTATTAGCGCAGCTGCAGCCCACGCACAAATTCAGAATTTGAGAATGATGAATGTGACAATACAGGAAAGAGAAGAATTTCAGTGTGGAAACTAAAATAAAAAAAGGCAAATTAGGATCCTTTTTGTTTCTTTCTGTAGATTTTGGCATCTTTGTTAATATAATCACAGTATTCCTTCTTATAGGTACATTTATTACACGCATAAATAGGATATTTAATTGCTGATCTCAATGACATTTCACGTAAGACAAGGAGAGAACAAAAAAATGTAGAAAATTTCTCGTTTCTATATAAATATGTAAATATACAGTATGTCATGATTTGACAACACTTTGAATACATTATGGTCTTTTTTTTGGTGGAAGAATTTAAAAGAAATCTCCCAAATGCCAAACACTTTTTTTTTGTTTGTTTTTCCCCGCGCTGAAGATGTGTGAGCATCTGGAAGCCGAGAGGCAGTTTGAGTGACGGCTGTAAGAACCAATCACTTTCCAGTCTGGCTTAAAAAAAAAAAAAAAAAGGACCACGAGTAAATGAGGAGAAACAGCGTGTAAAGAAATAAAAATTAAAATAAATCAATATGAACTATTAGATCCCAACCCCTGGAATAACACGCGAGAATAAAACGTATAAAAGAATCATGACAAAAAGAACAGGGGGGGGGGGCGCTAAATTTTGCTATTTTTTTTTTAAATCATGTTTTTTTTCTGATATAGTATATTTATATTTTGCATTGGTTGAAACAGTAAAAAGGCAAGGCAACGGGGGGAGAGGATTGCGACGCACAGGGAAAATCAAAAGTCAAAAGTCCTCCCAGCTTCCCGGGAAGCGAGCTGGTGGCCGATAACAGAAGTAGCCCCCCCCCCACCCCCAACCAAGTTCCCTCAGGGTTTTTATTAATATTGTGGCGTGGGAATAAATTAAACGTCTGCCCCCTCAGGCCCGGCCTGAGCCCTGCCCTCCTCCCCACTTAGATTCTAAAGGATGTGTGTTGACTTTCCTGTCCCGCCATCCTCCACCTCGGCGACCTCCTCATGTCGGTGCGCTTCGGGGAGGACTGCCGTCTCCTCTCGCCCCACCCTGAAACTGTTTTAGTACCTTGAGGGAAAGACAACAAAATGGGATAAGCACACAAAGAAACGTGGGCAGCATGAGCCTCGAGTTTTAGCTTGACTTTTTGTGCTTTATACTGTCTTTGTTAGTTTGTTAGGTGGATAATTTTGGCGCCATGTACAGCACTTTACATACAGCGGTGGTTGTTTTGAAGTGCTCATATACAGCTGAGTTGAGAAAAAAGCAATTTTAGCCAAATCAGAAGCCTGAAGTCGTTTCCTGAAAAGTTGCTTGCAAGTTGTCAACGTGTCGGAAAACACACACATACAGACAGACTGCGCGCCACAATTAAATGTTTTCCTACCTGTAGTAGTTTGGCTTAAAGGGTCCGTTCTTGTTCAAGCCCAAATACTTGGCCTGCTCGTCACTCAGCTCTGTGAGGTGCGCGTCGAACGTAGGCAGATGGAGGCTGGCCACATACTCGTCTACAAGCGGGAGGCGTGACGGGAGGTTGGCATTCAAGAATCAGAGTTGGGAAACCACAAAATTCAAAATACGCTAAGCTGAAAAACAGAACTTCAAACACCTTACCCATCTTCTTGGGCAGGAGGTAAACGTCCTGTTTGTAGCGTCCGTCTGGAGCATTGTAGAGTTCGATCAAAGCCAAGGCCTGGCCACACACACACACACACACACACACACACACACACGCGCACACAGTCAACATTCCTCCTGCTTGGCCGAAAGAAGCTTCACAATAGTGCCGCTGTACCTGGGTGGTGGCCGTGATAGAAAGCACAAATGTGGGCACGGTGGAACAGCTGAGGTTCAGAAGACGACCCTGCGAATCAGATGAAAAAGACAAAAAGGAAAAAAAAGCTCAATGTCTGTTACATTTGACGTGACATCAAAAGCAGCTGAAAAAACAAACTCTCAAATGGATGTTGGAGTACCTCGGCCAACAAGACTATCCTCTTGCCGTCGGGCCAGATGACATGGTCCACCTGCGAGCGCACCCTCTCCCAGGTCAGCTCGGGCGTCCGCAGACTCGCCTGCAGATTCGCAAACAAAAAGCATGCTTCCATTTTTTTTTTTTTTTAAAGGCAGGGATGAGCTTATTCCAATGATGCCTCATGAAATATGGGCAGCAAAAACATCTTTGATCAGCGCTCAGGTTAAAGCCGGCTGTTACTATGACAACCACCGCTTAACTAATCTGTCCTGACCCAATCACGTCTCACTCAGCCAGCCGCATTACGTATAATAAAAACCAACAGGCTCTTAGAATGATTACTGTGATGTCATAGGTAAAGATTCATCCCATATTAATATGAAGAAAGGAAGCTGGGGACTGACAACGTCAATCTCGGTATTGGAGTGGCCCATGTTGCAGACGATGCAGCCATTCTTCATGCGGTCCAGGTTCTCTCGCACCACCACGTTCTTGTTACCTGACGGGGTGAACGCAACAGAAGGGTGAATAAAATCCCCCCGTGTGATGGCACTGTACAAAAAGCGAAGGTACCCGTGCAGGTGATGACAATGTCCACTTGTCTGACGACTTCGTTGAGCTTCACCAGCCTGAAGCCGTCCATGCTGCCGTCGACAAACAAACGCAAGCGTGAGACCCACATGTCAATAGCGGCGCCGAGCGCGTAAACAGACGGGCTGCGGCGTACCAAGCCTGCAAGGCACAGATGGGATCGATCTCCGTGACGTAAACGATGGCGCCCATCGCCTTGAGGGCGGCGCAGCAGCCTTTTCCCACCTGGGGGCGCCAAACATCAAACACTCAGTGGCGCATCATCCATCAAGCGAGCGGGATGCCGAGCCACACGTCAGCAAAACGTCCATAGGGGTGAGTCTTACCTCTCCGTACCCGCACACCACCACTTGTTTGCCTCCAAACATGACATCAGTCGTCCTCTTCAAACTAGAAACAAGCGCCAATGGCATTCGGCTTCATGAAAATGGATTTTAATTGTCCGTGTATCAGGTCCAAATAAGGGTTCATACCCGTCCAGGATGGATTCCCTGCAGCAGTAGAGGTTGTCAAACTTCTGCTTGGTCACAGAGTCATTAACATTCATGGCGGGGACGCATAGCTTGCCGGCCTTGGACAGCTGGTAAAGCCTGGAATGCATCAATTGTATCCAAGCAGTGCAGTGCAACTAATTGCCTTCATCAATCAAATATCAGTCCTTCTAGAACGCCGTGTACTGCAATGGCGTAATTACATAACTGCAAAACAGACGGTGATCTACGTGTTGACCACTAGAGGGCGATGCGGCTCCAGAAACTGAGTGAGACGACCCCCCCCCCACCACCCATCCCTCCTTTTTTTTAATCATTTGTGCCTACCTGTGCACACCGGTGACACTCTCCTCCACAATGCCCTTGATTTTCTTGAACATGTTGGGGTACTTTTTGTAGATCCAGTGGGTCAGGTCACCACCATCGTCCAAGATCTGGAGACAAGGAACGACGGAGGGGCAAAAGAGAAACGCTCAAAACAAGACACAACTTGAGCCGAGCGAGTCCTAAAATTGGCGACTGGTGTCGAGGAAAACGCGCTACCATATTGGGCTGCCAGCCTTCCACATTGACGCAGCGATCGATACACCACCAGAAATCGTCCTCCGACTCGCCCTTCCATGCAAAGACGCTGAAACCTGGATGCAGAGATATAAAGGAAGAGAATAGCAAGTGCAAAGGAGAAAGGAGAAGAAGTCAGGGCAAGACAGTACGACTCACCTCCTTCGGCCAGAGCAGCCGCCACCTCGTTTTGGGTGGAGTAGATGTTACAGGCCGCCCACCTGCACTGAGCACCCAAAGCTGACAGAGTCTCCATCAGCACCTGAGGGGTACGGACAATAAAAAAAAATAATAAAATTTAAAAAATAGGGATTTTTTTTCCCCCGGCTCCAAGGAACCAAATATTTTGCAAGCGAAGGCCGGGTTCATTTTGAGGCGTCTTTCCAAGCTCTACTCACAGCGGTCTGGGCGGTGATGTGAGTGCAGCCCACCACCTTGG